ACGGCAGAACCGCGGCTTTCCCTCAGCGGCGAGTGCAGAGCACGACCGGTCGCCGGCCTCTGGTAGGCATCACGTCCCGTGGCCGCCGGGTGCGGCTCGGCGCACGGCTCGGCGTGCCCGAGCTCGGACGTGGCCACGTCTGGCCGCCGCCGCCGAGCGTGTCTTGGGGTACGGCTCGGCGTGCCCGAGCTCCGGTTCGGTACGGCTCGGCGTGCCCGAGGTTTGGTCCTGTCACACCGCTCCCGACGTGGGCACGTCTGGCCGCCGCCGCCGAGCGTGTCTTGGGATACGGCTCGGCGTGCCCGAGCTCCGGTTCGGTCACACCGCTCCGGGTGTGGCCACGTCTGGCCGCCGTCGCCGCCGCCTGCCGAGCTGACCGTGCACGGGGGAGGGGGAGGGGGACGGGGTCGGCGAACCAGGCGGCGCCAGGGCTCCGGTGGCCCCTCGGCGCCAACCGCCACCGGCCTCGGCCACGCCGACCGAGAAACCAGCAGGGAGGGGGGCGGAAAAGAAGGGAATGGAGAGAAAAAGGGGCGAGAGTGGGAGATCGATAAGGAAGACGAAGATCGAAAGGAAACGAGGAAGAAAGACGAGGAAGAGAGAGCCAAGAAAAAGAACAGGACCCAGGGGCAAATCCAACTGCCAGGCGCAGACCAGTCCGAACACGAAAAATGCTTCGTTCGACCCAGATGAGCAACTTCCTATCCACTTATCACCTAATGCAGTATGCATAAGCATATGCAATATCCCAGACTAGACCACTCCATTATAGGTCATTCACACTTCTTACAAGGAGTTCACAAGGAGCTCTTTGTCGCGGGTCGCCCGTGATTGGCCCTGCCGTGAGGTCGTCAGCTGATGGTGTGGCCTGTGGTCTGTGGTCTGTGGTCTGTGGTCTGTGACCCGAGAGCGTGGGAGCCGTGCCGCTCCGCCGTGAGATGCCGCGCCCCATCACAACGATGTCGCGTCGAGCTGTGGGCGTTTCCCAGCCGGCGCGCCCCGACGGAACAAGCAGTGGTCGCCCCGGCGGTCCGGAGCCGCGCTGTCGCCGGCGTCGCTGACGGCAAACAAGGCGGTGTCACACCCCGGACGCGACGGGTGGCGCAGGACCGCGTGGTGTGACGTCGCCACCGCTCGACCCGCGTCAACGCCTCGCCCGGTGCGTCACACGTCAAGCCCAAACAGACGGACAGCCCGCGGCGGGTGCCCGCGATGACGACAAGCGAGGGCCTGCCGCGGCCAAGGGGCCCTCCACATGTGACGCCAGTGGGCCGACACGCCCTGCAACCGTCATTTTGCTCACCCACGGTCAAAAGCGCACCCAGCGAGGAGATCAGGCGGGTCTATGACCACTAATACTGAAATCTAAACTGTGCAGCCATTTTCGACCATAACGCAATGCCTTTGCAGCGGGGTGGTCTTGCCGCTCTCGACAAAAATAAACAGTGGAGCCGCTGCAATCGCTGAACACCAGACGAAAATAGCCAGATAATGCGCGATCAACATCACCGAAGCAGGCGGTTTAGTGCAATTGCTGTGACGTCCATGGGGCGTTGGTGTCGCTGGGGATAACGTCGCATTGGTCGCCGCTGGCCAACATACTTCAAGGATAGATTTGTTTACTATGGTGCTATTGTGCCGTGTAGCATGAGTCTGGGGCACCAGTGGAAGATCCGTGCTTGTTACACCCATTCTGGATCTAAAAGTGATGCTTGGACTCATGAAGGTTTTGATTGTTGGCTTTTCTCCATAATTCGGCTGTGGGGGACCGCAGTTGTGCAGCCGCTTGACAAATAAATGGCATAATGCCTTCGGGTCACTGACGAGATTTCCCTCTCAAGGCTAAGCTTTCGGGTAACTGACGAGATTTCCCTCTCGAGGCTAAGCTTTCGGGTAACTGACGAGATTTCCCTCTCAAGGCTAAGCTTTCGGGTAACTGACGAGATTTCCCTCTCGAGGCTAAGCTTTTGGGTAACTGACGAGATTTCCCTCTCAAAGCTAAGCATTCGGGTAACTGACGAGATTTCCCTCTCAAAGCAAGCTTTCGGGTAACTGACGAGATTTCCCTCTCAAGGCAAGCTTTCGGGTCATTGACGAGATTTCCCTCTCAAGGTAAGCCTTCAGGTAAGCGTCAAGATATTCGAAACCTGGCCGATCCAACACGTGATCATCAATCGGCCGGCTGACCCCGCAGCCACGCGCTGGCGTCACACGCTCCATCGGTGGGGGCCCGACACTGC